AATGATAATCATGCACGCTAGAGTCCCACGCGACCCCATAATGCAACATTTTTGTCCCATCCGACACCGTTTCCGTTGCACGCAGAAAAAGGCCAGAAAACAGACAATATGAGTGCAGATGTTAAATCGCAGCACAGGAACTATTCCTGATGTTAAAGATCTGCAAGCTTAGCGCAGAAACGCATGATCGCACCTGGTAAGCCTGGTGCTCTTTAGCTTGGGATTTTTTTCCTGTGCTGCTCGTCATCAGTGCATCTAAGAGTTGTGCTAGTTCAGAGCTCGCTTTATCGGTGTAAAATAACTGGAATTTGATCCGTAATTGGATTCAGCAGCATGATGGCATTACCAGATTGCATTAAATGCGTCACTACATTCTGCGACCTGGTGCCATCAGTCTGGGTTTGAAAATGAGCAGTTTAAAGTGAACGGAAACTGTACTTCTGTTAACGTATTTTTTCATGGTCATTAAAAGAACTGTAATTTTTTACAGACTCTTCTACCTTCTGCGTCTTCGGATACCACTAGTGGGCGATGAAAGGCATTCGGTGCTTTCAATCGTGTGTGATATGCTAGAATCAAGGAGCGTAAATGAAGTGGTAAAGGGAAATATCATTGACGGTGCGCTCAGTTTGCTTTCTTTGGATGACGAGCAAGAAACTCCGGATTTGATGCTGCACGAAGGCATTTTCGCAGAAATCAAAAGGATTTCTGGTAAATAGATTGAAAATTAAAAAATTTCTCCTAAAATTCTTCCATTTCTTTCAGTCGCATTACTTCTCCAATATTTCGCGAAAAAAGTCGCGTGTTTTCATTTTTTTATTGAGTTTTCAGGTGTCAAAATGGGAACTGCTATGGTACTTGGTGAACTGCCAAAGTTGTTGAAATTTATTTTGAATTCACTACCGGCTGAAAATGAAAATCGAAAATTGAACATGAAACATTTGGAAGTGTTAGACAGGTTCGAGTATACGTTCCTTGGAGTTCCGATCTTTGCTCGAACTTACAAATTTTTTGCTATGCTAGTGATTTGTTAATTTTCTTTACCTTTCTCTTGTGCATCTTTGAAAAGGGACCTTCGGTGTCCTTGTTAGCTCTGTGGAGGGTGCGGAGCGACAAAAAAATGCTTCCATCTTGTGCAGCCTGTGAAACAAAAATCTCTAAAAATTTTGTTTAAGAGTAAGCGAATTCGTTGAGGATGCGACAATAGGCAGTCGATTTGTTTCGATATTGTTGACGTTCTTGGAATCGGGCGCAGTACGGTCCGACGAGGCTATCCAGTCCTTGCTGCTCACTGTTTCACGGATGCTTGCTACTGTGGCCAATTCAGAGCAGTTTTTAAAGTATTTACATCAATTCTTTAATTAGCTTTCACTTTATCGTAGCGTGCCTTGACGCTGTCGATGCATCGAACACTCGTTGTACGGCTGCTTTAACCAAAGGTAGCCTGACGTTTGTTCTTGAGCTCTTTATTTCGATTCCTGGAGATCTGGGGAAATCCTGTTTCATTTATTTGACTTCGCAGTTGACATACTAGCGATTTTTGAATGGAGGACAATTGTGGTGTCCGAGAATAGCTTTCAGGGCAGTGATTTACAAATGCTGCCAG